CCCTTCTTCCGACTACGCCACCACCACCTTCCACGCTTTCCACCGTCCTCCATTCCCTCCTCGCTACCGGCTTCTCATCCTCGTTTGCTCTCTTCTACCCTTCATCGAGCACACGGCTCCTCCGCTCGACTTTCCTCCTCCTTCTCCTCCTCCTCCTCCTCCTCCTTCACCTTCTCTTGCCTAAGCCAACGGTTCCTTCTCGTCCGACGGTATCTCTCTGTTCCAGAGGAGAAGCTCGTGCTTTCCACCCTCTTTCCACCCTCTTTCCACCTCTCCCGCCGATGTTGCTCGCTGTTGCTGCTGCCGCTGCGCCTTCGCCTTGTTCGCATGCCAGCCGAGAGCGTAGCCGAACCAGACGAAAAACAGAGACGGTCCACGACGGGACGAGGATGAGAACGGAGACGGGAGAGACGTTCTCTTTGTCGAAGTTGGCAGCAACAGACAGCCCTCTGGCTGCAAACGGAGGGACGGTCCACCACGTACGCCTTAAGTCCGTACAGCTGCACTCTCTGATGCTCGCTGCGCGATCAATTGCACTTTCAAAGGGGATCATCAGCGACGGCCTCCGCATGCCGGCCACGATTGTTTTCGACTTCGTCGTCCCCGGGATAAATAACTCGCGCCGGGGATTAGTAAACATCAAAGAAACGTCGAGATAAATTAAAAGGAATCGAGTTAGCCTGACTTGCGGTTTTCCTTGGGGTGGAAAGGTGGACGAGCCTGACGGGACTCCGGCGTCGATGCTTGAGAAGGAATTACGTGTTTATTAGGGGAAGAAATGGGCCACCGGGTAGTAGGAAATCGTTCTCATCGAGCAACTAGATGGATGATCCCGAGAAGGGCTAACGATTTTCGCGAGTTGTTTATGGAAAAAGTTTCGAAGCTCGCTTGATTTATAAGATCGCCTGTCCTCTGCCTCGGAGGTATCGTTTCGGCGAGTATCGTTCGAGAATGGAGCGAAGCGCGGGATTATTTCGCAGTGAAATATTTGTTTCTTCGACTTTGAATCACGATCGATGCTTCACGTAAATGAGCACGGACGAAAGTTGTTCAATTTTCGAGAAAATAGAAGCTCGATCGACGTTGATTCGGATTACCGATTATTTGTTATGATCTGATTCGGATTAGTCAAATGTGGGAATGGATAATAATATCCTGCAAGTATCGTACTGGGTATGATTAATTTCACTCCGTTCGATGCTTGGTTAATGCCCTCCGAGTAAATCCCTGGCGATAGTAGAGCCAACAATCTCCAGGAACAAAGGATTAATTCGTCTCTGACTACTCTATCATTGTCGACCCTGACTATTCGCATACAATAGGATATATCCTGATTATAATCCCTAGGATTATCGTTGGAAGAAATCGGCGAATTTCCTATGCGATCCCACGACCGACTATTCGCGCAATTATTTTCGTTTACCCGATTCCCTTAATCGCGGAAACGTTTATACCTCTTGCCTCTATTTACGGAGCACGTCGGCAGAATCGAATCGCTTAATTGGATAAAAGGGGCCGGTAAAGCACGCATTACTCGCGCCGAGGCAGCCAAGCTAAGTATAAATATTTCAAACGATCGGCGATGCATCCGATCGCTCGTAAACTAAAATTCTCGCGAGAATTCCAGCCGCTAAGTAACATGGCGCGCACGAGCCAGCCCGGTGCATGTTAAATCCGCCCGGATGCTCGAGGATACAGCTTAAACTCCAATCAGCGTAAAATAACGCAGGAAAATTCAGGACGAGCAAATCTTCCCGGTAACTTACACGCGACCATCCTGGCGAGGAGCACGCAGGAAGCAGGGTACCATAAAAATCCGTGGAATATTCAAATCGGGGACTGGCGAGTCACGGTTCTGCCAAAACTCGAACGTGGTCGAGCATAGCCGGAAATTGCCTCGTTATCCCCGACGTGGCTGTTATTTACGGATTTTAACGAGCGAAAGCTTACGCTTTCTCCTCTCGTCGGAACGTCACGAGACTCGGTTACGAGCTACCCCATTTTGCCTTCTCCCGACGCGTCGCTTTCTTTCGCCCCTTTTAGCCTGCGACCCTTAAAAAAGAGCCAGAGGAAAAGCTCTTCGACCGATCGAAACCGTATTCCCGATCGATGGACGGGAACATCGAATGCAAATGCACACTCGCGAAGATATTCCGCTCTATAAAACGTCGAATTGCCTGGCCCGCTGATTAATACAGAAGGGAATCAGATGCCGTGGAAATTTTGATCATACCCGCGGAGTTTCGCTGAGGTTTAGTACCGGATGGCGTACGCTGTAGCTGATATAGCGTTAATAGTAACGGAGATAGTAAATCGACTTTATTGCGCGAGAAGAAAATTGTTCTGAAAATGAAATGGAATACGGATAACGCACAAGGGTGGATTCGACTGTTGGAGCCATTCGTGGGTCTCAGATGGTTATTTAACCCTCGATCGATCTTGCCCTTCTGTGTCGACGTGTTACTTGGCAGTTGCCATAAGTAGATTATTATTGTAGCGTCTATGTACCATTTAACCAGTTAGCCGTAGAGACTTCTTTTTGTGGATAGAAATGAATACTAATAACTTCCACTTCTTTTAACAATTGTCAAATTAATATATTTAGATAATAATATTTAAATATTGACAACGATTCTAAATAAACTATTTTTAAACACAAAGATTGACTCTATCTTGAAAATTCTTTTCTCTCTATCTCACTGTTATTAACTCATGTTTACTCTATGACGATTCTCACGTAATTGTTTCATTGTGGCACATTCTTCTAAACATTTTTTATCAACATTCACACTACCAAATAACTTTCATTTATTCTATCTCAATACCATTCACACATATAAAACCAACACTCACATTCTCATAAAACCAATACCATACTTTTCAGAGCGCGAGAACCAAGCGATGATGGTTATAGTCGTCAAACACAAAGTAAGTGACGCTGTTAGAATATTGCATCAAAAAGATGGCTTTATTATGAACAATTTTATTACTAATATTTACTCGTTCACTTGATATAAACAGTAACAGTTTAACAGTATTGACTGTTGAAAAATGTAGAGGATATTGGTGGCCATTTCTATCCACAATGAATATGTATGGAAAGAATAGACGACAGAAAACAATTCTAAACAACTCTCCTCGTGAGTTCTTTCGACCTTTCACTATCAAGCTTTACAGAATACTTCTCTATTCAGAGGACATCCTTCGCTTTTCCTAATTGTGCCTAAAACTACTCCCACCCCATCGATCACCGAAAATATTGCAGACCCATCGATGAACCGTTCGTCAATGTTTTCCCAGTGGATTTGGTTTCCATCTTGCTTACCCACTTTCACTTGCTTTCCCTTTTACAGCCCTTGGGGTTGTAGGATTTAAACCTACGACACTATACACGTTATTAACAGTTCCATATTATAATCCTATCCCTCAGATACTCGATTCTCTCTAACTCGCGATTTTAATATACATTTTCTCTCGTTTATTTGCCCATTGTTTTATTTCTTATTGCTAGCTTTCCAACATTTTCTCACATACCTCGCGACTCTTTTTTTTCATCACAGTCAACGAACTTTCCGATAACACGCATTCACACAATCATACCTTGCCATGTCTTTATCGTGAAACCAATTTCGCGATTACGACATGCAAGTTACGTCGTGTATGAATTTGTGCTTTTTGAATTTTATTTTACAGAGGCAACTCGATTATTCGTCTATTTATTCGAATTCTTTGTCGCCGGAATATTTTGTCCTCCAATGTTTCCATTATTCGAACATTCGAACATTCGAACACCTTTTCTACGAAGGTAAATATTTCAATTCGAATCGGTTCATGCATATGGTAATTTATGGCAGAGATCAATGACCGTTTAGTCTAGCAATGCACTGTGATAATAT